AACGCAGGTATTTGGAAAATGCCACGAAGCAGGTCTGCTCAGCCCTGCGGCTGCAGCCTGTCAGCAGGGCGAGGATTCTTGGTCAAGTACACAGTTCAAGCCAGTACTGACCATATCCTTCAGTGGAAAGCACTGCTCTCCTATCAGTGAAATCTCAGGCTGCCCCTGAGATTACCCCGCGGCCCTTGCCGTCTGGGTGTGTCCGACTTCTGGTCTTACCCTGATCGTGCAGGAGGTCCCAAGGGAGCCCTTGCCAGGTTGCACCTCAAACCCCAACTTTGAGTCAAGCTGACAGCCATTGATCCCCGATTTCCAAGCTGTTTCTGATTTCACAGGCCATCCTGCAACTTCTATTTTGACTGTTTTTAAAAATTCCATCTATAGTTTTATTTCTAGTTCAAGACGATGAATATCCCTTGCATTTTTATTATCTATTGAATACCATGGCTTTTTTTTGTTTGTTTTGTTTTGCGGTACGCGGGCCTCTCACTGTTGTGGCCTCTCCCATTGTGGAGCGCAGGCTCCGGACGCGCAGGCTCAGCGGCCATGGATCACGGGCCCAGCCGCTCCGTGGCATGTGGGATCTTCCCGGACCAGGGCACGAACCCACGTCCCCCGCATCGGCAGGCGGACTCTCAACCACTGCGCCACCAGGGAAGCCCGGCATTTTGTTTTTCTTTACCAAACAATGCCTGTTCATTTTAGACGTGCAAAAATGAGAACACAGATCACCCATCAACTTACTTACCCCTAGATGACAGCTGTTAACTTTTGCTTTTTCTTCCCGGTTTGTTTTTATAACCTATGCAATTCTGTAATGTTTTTACAATAATAATAATAGCTAGCATTTATTTATTACTTACTACGGGCCAGGAAATGTGCTGTGCAGTTGAACACATGGTTTAATTTAGCACCAATGAGCAGCCTGTGAAATGGAGACCAGTGTAGTTCTATTTTATATCCTCAAAGAGAAATAACATAATGGTGGTGGCTAAGAGGCTTACTAGGGGCGGCAGGCAGAGAAAGGCCTTTGTGCCCTTCTACAGCAAGAAAAAAAAATTTTTTGGCTCTTAATAAATGTTTATTGTTAAACTGCAGCATACAGAGCACTTCAATACTGTGTCCCTGGAAAATATGTTTCCAAGAGGGGGTGTACAGCAGTATAAAGTATGTACTAGATAAGAAAAAATATATACCATAGCAGTAGGCAAGTGCTCACTTTAATCACAATTCTAAATTACTTATTTTCATATTAACATAGATATTTCATAAACCAAGAAAAACTGAGCTAAGTATTATGTATTTTTTAATGGTTAACACGAGTCAAAGAATTTTTATTTAAAAGAGATCAGGAGCTGGTAATTAAAATAAATAAATAAACCTTAATCCTGACCTGGAGACAAATCCCGGTAAAGATCCAGGTTCATTTTTCTTATTGATCGCACCCTCCAATTCGTTGTGTGAATTTGCCAGATTAGATGGTATAATTATCTTTTTTTTTTTTGCGGTACGCGGGCCTCTCACTGCCGTGGCCTCTCCCGTTGCGGAGCACAGGCTCCGGACGCACAGGCTCAGCAGCCATGGCTCACGGGCCCAGCCGCTCCACGGCATGTGGGATCCTCCCGGACCGGGGCACGAACCCGCAGTCCCCTGCAGCGGCAGGCGGACTCCGAACCACTGCGCCACCAGGGAAGCCCGGTAGAGTTATCTTTTATAGGCCTGGGTGGGACGATGCTCAGTGTTTACGCTGCAGGGGGGCGTGGTCAGTGGGAGCAGTCAACAAAGGGTCTCAGCAAAGACTGCGAGGTCGGGAGATTGGAAGGAAGTAGGCAGATTCAGGGCTGAATTAAGAATTTTGTGACCTTAGGCACTTTTATCTTTGGGAGCCCCTTTCCTGGTAAAAATCAATCAATCAATCAATAAATCAATAATGGTATTTTACGCCTCCATAAAAGGATGAATATAATCCAGGCTGGATTCATTGTTACATAGGCATTAACCTTATTGTCAAATTATTCCTTTTAATTTTAAAAGAAATTGGAACATTTTCGCGGGCCCCTAAATTATCATTGAGTCCTGGGCAGGTGTGCCCAGTGGGTGTGTCGGCCTTAGGTAGGTCCCTAGAAAGGGGACCTGGCAGCTTGGTGTCCTGACAGCTACTTGGCCTGTTTTGTAGAAGTCCCTCGCCTGTGATTTTGGACCCACTCAGAAGGTTCAAGAGTTCCCCCCAAACTGCATCCCTTTTTGGCCAGAGGCGGGGCTCTCGCTTACGACGTGTTGAAATCCTGTCTTCCAGCCCATTTATTCTTGTTTCCCCACCCTGGTCTTCTCTGGAAGCAGTCTGCTGTGGGACGGGACATGTTTCAGGCTAATGTTTTCTTGGGGCCTCACCAGCCGGGCCTTTTGTTCCTCAGTCCAAGTTATCCAGGAGGACCTGCCCCTTCCATCTTGGTTGGAGGTGGTTGGACCGAGAACCACTAGGTGATGTTTGGCTCGCAGCATCCGCGAGATGTCAGGAAGGAACCTGTCAGGGTCGGGGGGTGCAGGGGGAAGGCAGGGACCGTGGGGGGGCAGGCTGTGGGTAGCCTGTGGCAGTCTCTGGCCTTCCTTGGAGGTTTGGTGTCGGGCGTGGCACGCTGCTGTTGGCCTGTTTCCAAGGGAGGCCCATCTGCTCCCCGTCCTGCTGTTGCCCTGAAGATGCAAAGGCAGCGGGGAGGTTATGTGTGCAACCTCGGCAGATGTGGAAGCCAGTGTGCTGTGGGCAGAGAGAGGAAGCATCCGTGCTGCTCTATCCAGCCTCCCGAGAGGCCCTGCATCTTGTCTGCCCTGGATGGCCATGCCAAGGAGAAAAGCAAAGGGAAAAGAGACCCCTGCTTGTTTTAAAGACCAGAGCAAACACAAACCACTCTGTTCAAAGCGGTGGTTCTTAGGAATGTATTTCAGGCTAGAGGTTGGGTTGCCTAGAACTGGATTATAGGAGAGGGGGAGGGGCCGCTCTCTCTTGGGACACAAGTAATGTCTCCCTCACCCTCCTACACTGCAGGAGTCAGCTGGGCAGGTCCAGAAACCAGCTGGCGAAGAGGGGAAAGCGCTAGCGGAAGAGTGGGGAGGAGTCAGCTTGCATGAGGTTTCTGGGGAGGCGGATAAGGAGGTGTTTGAGGGGATCCCTTCTAAGCTCTCGCTTCTGTGGACCACCAGCGTTGGGTTCACCCAGGAGCTTGTCAGAAATGCAGAATCTCCGCCCGCCACATCAGACCTACTGAATCTCCAGGTGGTCAGATGGTCCTCAAACTTTGCTGCATATTAGACTTTCCCTGGGAACTTAAAAAAAACTTTAAAAAAAAAAAACCCAGTGCCCGGACCTTAATCAAGACCAATCAGAACCACTGAGGGCGGGACCCAGGCTTCCCCTTGGGCAGCAGGAATGGCGATTTCAGTGAGTAGCCAAGTCTGGGGACCCTCCCTCCCCTCCCCATCTCATTCCCCCACCATAAGATTTAAAGAAGACCCCCTCGAGTGTCCCACTATCTCCCCTCCAATGTCTGCTGCTAAATTGGCTGGATTGAGACGTCATGGGGGCAGGGTGAGTTTAGATTCACTTGCGTTAAATTTCTCGTCTCCCCTGGAAGGCTGATTGTGGAATCCAGTCACCTAGGCTTGAGCTTGAATGAGTTTATCGGATGCTTTCCACCCAATAAGCTGAACATGGGTTGGGCAGGTGGGTGGCTTTGCATAAAATAGTAACAGGAATGGGAATCCATTCTGGGTGCTGGGGTTGGAGTTGGAGAGCACATTGCTGTTTTGCTCGCTTCTTTTCAATGAGTTTTCTAGCATTTGCGAGTTGTCTGGTTAGATCCCAAGAGCTGCACGGTTCATCGGAGCTAAAACTGTCAAGTTCTTTTCTCCATGGTCAAGAGGCCTATACTGCATTTGAGGTTGGCTGTGGTTGAGGAAGCCAGCCCAGCGAACATGTCCCCAGGATTGGGGGGAGGGGGTCCTGGAGCGCACCGGGATCCTGATCCAGCGGCTGCAGCCCAGCTCCATCCTCGGAAACTCTAGAAACCTAGGGAGTGATCCAAGCCCCACGATGATGTGTGTGCGTCCAGCGAAGGAACAAAACGCCACCCAAACAATCCTTTCTCTTGTGAGTGAAGGTTACAGGTTTTCTGTTTCAAACCTGATGGTGTTGTTTTCCTCCTTTTGCTTTCTTCTCTCTGTTTTCACTTGCCAACCTAAGGGTCTAGAGTGATTTCTTTGAGCCTTATGATGGCGAAGCTTAGAATGAGGCTATTATCTTTAAACACCTTTTGAAATACTACTCTTCCTGGTGTCTGAATTAGGTTGAACAGAGGTCGGATTTAAAGATTAAATATCTATTCTTTTGCGGCAACAGTGACTATGCTGATAACTGTGCGTGTTTGCTCAGGAATTCTACGGGTGGTGTGGAATAGCCTTGTTCTCTAGAAACCCGCAAAGGAGTAAAATTAATAAAAGCATAGCTAATATTTATTGAGTGCACAGAGCTAGGTGTTCCTCATGTGTTATCTCATTCAGTGAATTCAAACATATCATAAGGTCAGAGTATATAAAAATTCAGAAATGCTGTCATAGAAATCTTTGAGCAAAAGTCTCCCCAACTCAGGACTGTGGCAATAGATTAATTTTGTAGTAAAGGTCCATTGTGAATTTAAATTTTGTTAAAACTTTAAAACAATGACTATCCAGTGTCATACCCATTCATGTCTTAGTTTATTCTAGATCTAGTTTATTATGGTGATAACCTATATTTCTTTGAAAGTATTCTTCAGTTCGCCATGTACACGATGGATAGGAAATGGATTTCTCCGTTTATTCTGAATTAATGGTAGTTTTATTCTATATTGAAGAATAAACAGCTATAAACTCCTGTGTCCCTGGGAGGCTGTCTGGCATTCGTTTTAAGCTTGAAGATGAGTTTCGTTATCTGGTTTCCTGTTGTAAATCTCCCTCTCTTTTTGCAGGTGAAATCAGAGGTTCGTGACTGACCTGAGTAGGTGCTTTGAACCGAGAAAGAAGGACAAGATAAAAGGTGAGCTGCACATAGTAATCAGGGCACAGCCCTGCTGCTCTTCTTGCTTTGGGGGTTCTGCTCCTTCCACGCCATACCTGGCTGCCCCGATATCCCTACGCACCTGCGTGCCAGCCTGGAGTGCAACTGGCAGGCCGGAGCCTTGCACTGGCCATCAGAGAGGGTCCAGAGACACAGGCTGGTAAATTTTAACAGTCATCATGATAAATTCAGGCCAGGCTGTACTCTCACAGCTTCTACTTAGATGAACTCATTCTTACCTCTCACAGCCCAAGCCAGTCAGTCATGTTACGCCCAACCTACAGAGGAGGAAACCGAGGTCCAGTCACTCCCCCGGGACTGCACAGTTAATTAGCGAGGGAGCCAGGATTCAAAGCCAGAGCTGGCACCGGCACTGTGATCTCTTTCCATTCCGAGTGACAGTGAATCGTCCCAGTCGCCGGCGCACCATGCATCAGTGTTCCTGCCGCCTGCTCTTTAGACGCGTCGGTCCGAGGCGGGACACAGATGTCTTGCATTTTGCGGGGAGAACCATCAGGTAGGTGACTCCAAGGCTGCAGGTCTAGGAGACAAGGGGGCGTATGATCTCTCCTGCTGCCCTTCAGGAGCAGAGACTGGCTGCAGGATTCAAGGGGATCGCAGGGCTTCTGGAATGCTGCTGACTGCAGTCTGGCCCTAATAAAGCAGGATGTGGGGCAAGGGGCCACTCCCTGGGTGCGAGGCCTGGGTTACCTATAGCTCTCTAGACCCCATCATCCACAGAAGTCGCAGTTCCGGCTGTAAGTCCCAGGCACACGTACACGTCAGTCCTGCCAAGGTAGCTGGAAGCTCGGAACGTGGGCATGTTTGACTGGAGGCAGCAGATGGTCTAATAAAGGGCGTGCTGTGCTATGCAAAGCAGGGCTTTGGAACTGGGAGATTATGGTGCAAATTCGCCACTCTTGGTCTAGCATCAAGGTAAACAGCATGGACCCAGAAGTCCTGGGTTCAAATCTTACTTCCGCTGCTTTCTCACTTTGTGACCACAGGCTGGCGACCTTCACTTCTCCAAACCTCAGTTTCCACATCTGTAAAATGGGGATAATAAGGATTATCCCCGCCACGGTGTGATGTGAAATGAGAGAATACACCGAGTTAGGTGCCTGGCACCGTGCCTGGGACATGTGACGCCTACAATCAATGTCAGGGTTGTTGTTGTTGTTTTTCTTACTTGATCTTGGACATGATCTTGGGTAAATCACTAAGCCTCGGTTTCCTCATCTGTAGGCTGGTGATGCTAACGCCTTATCCTTAGGGGAGGTCGTGAGTTAAATGAGATAACACAAAAAAGCGTAGATCACAATATGCACCCTGTCTAGTAGTTCTCTTGCTCATTTATCATTATCTACATGGATCAGTCAGAAGGAAGGCAGCCACTGAGTGATACTAATCCCTCCATCCACTAGAATACCGAGTCCCAACAATTGCTCTACAGCGATTTTTCAATTTTTTAAAAAAAATTTTATTAGAGTATAGTTGCTTTGCAATGTTGTGTTAGTTTCAGGTGTACAGTAAAGTGAATCAGTTATACATGCGCACATATCCACTCTTTTTTTAGATTCTTTTCCCATACAGGCCATTACAGAGTACTGGGTAGCGTTCCCCGGGCTATAATTAGTAGGTCATTATTAGTTATCTATTTTAGATATAGTAGTGTGTATATGTCAATCCCAATCTCCCAATTTATCCCTCCCCTGGTAACCGTAAGTTTGTTTTCTACATCTGTGACTCTACTTCTGTTTCGTAAATCAGTTCATTTGTACCCTTTTTTTAGATTCCGCATATAAACGATACCATACGATATTTGTCTTTCTGTGTGTGCCTCACTTCACTCAGTATGACAATCTCTAGGTCCATCCATGTTGCTGCAGCCCCGATTTTCCAGTCTGAACCTTCTCTCTTCCCAGACGCCCGCTGCTGCTCTTGACTTTGGTAGCACAAGCTGGGATACACCCTAGGGGCTCCAGGCTTTCTTTTCCAAAGTAATTCTATTTGTTTTCCCTAAGCCTCTTTCTTAAACCCAGGATTCATCATGTCGCTTTCTGACTGAAAACAAACAGACAAACGAAAAACCTTCCATGGATTTCTATTGATCATCTCAGCAAACAGATCTCATTGGGCACCTAATCTTATCGCCCACCACTCGAATTTGAAGCCTTTCAGCTGAGCCCACCTGCTTTGGATCCTACCCCCCAAGACTGGATTATTCCTGCACCCCGCCTCTGTGCTCTCCCCACACCCTCTCCCTGTGTCCCCATCTGTGTGCTTCACCTCCTCCAAACCCCACACCCACAGGGCCCTGCCGCACCGGCGGCCCCTACACCCGGCACATCACCTTACTTTCAGGACTTCACCTGCCGTCTTGTGTGCCTCCCCAGCTGGTGCCTTGAGAGTGGGTGGAGGCGGGGTGGGGCTTGTTTTCTGTTACTGGGGTGTTTTGTTTATCCCACCCCTTTTTCACTGCTCATTCTAGGACCTGCACAGACTGGGTGCTCGGACGATGATGGTGTGGGTTACCTGGTGGGAGGATGGGCCTGGAAAGGAGAGTCAGTTGCTTAAATGAGGCTTTAGCTGCTGTGTGGCTTTGGCAGGCTGTGTGTGAGCCATGGGGTGGGGGCAGGGGGTTAATGAGTGACTCCAGGGGGATTTCCAGGCAAATTGTGGGCACTGCCTTTCTGAGAACAGCCTCTCTGCTTTAGCCCGCCCTCTCCCCTCCCTCCCTGGACGACCCCCCCCCCCCACCTGAATGCCAGTTCATTCCATAACAGGCACAGTCCCTATTCCCATTGGGATGGCAGTGATGCCCTCATTCATTCTTTCATTTGTTCATTCATTCGTTCTTTCATTCATTCATCTAACAGATCGTTCTGGGGTGCCTGCTCTGGGGCAGGACTGTTCTAGGCAGAGAACATGATCCTGTTCTCATGGAGCTTGCTTTCCAGTGCGGGGTGGGGGGGGAGGGGACTGGGGGGGGTTGGGGGCAGGTAGATAATACGCAGAATGGTAAATAATTAACTTATCTAGTACATAATAGCAGAATAGTAAATAATTAACTTATCTAGTACATAATAGCATTGTGGAAAAGAAAATAGAAGCAGGAGCTGTTCAGATGTGCTGGGTGGGGAGTAGAGGGCAGGTTGCAGCCTTGAATAAGTCGGACGAGAAGGTGACATCTGAGCACGGCCTTCAAGGAGGTGAGGTCTCTGCCAGCAACAGCTCCATCAAGGCCGAGGCAGGAGCGTACCTGGTGTCTTTGAGGACAGAAGCGCAGTTGGGGTTGGAACTAAGTCGGGGAGCTCAGTGCCTGGGGATGAGGCAGAGGCCAAGGAGAGCCTTGGGGCCGTCAGGCTTTCCCTCCGAGGGCCCTGGGAGCCATGGCAGGATTTGGAGCGAAGCCGTGCCGGCAGCCCACTTCCTAGGGGCTTGTATGGAAGCCGAGAGGCCGGGGCAGCTGAGGGATGAGGGTGCAAGCAAAAGGGACATTGAAGGTGCCTTTTCTCTCCTCTTCGCTCACATACAGGTGACAATAGAATGATGTTTAAGGTGGGGATGAGCTGAAACTCCCACTGCCGCTTCCCAGGGGCTGAGTCTCAACAGCTGTGCCTGCCTTACTCAGCAGAGGCTCTTGCACTGGGGTTGGGGCTTAGCGCAAGGATCCCATCTCCCCTCATCCCTGCCAGTGGAGCCACCCGGGGCCACACGGGCAGGCTGCAGACTCGGCAGCAAAGAATAGTAGTGACAGAGGAAAAAATAAATGAAATAGGGAAAAAATTACAGGAGGAGAGAGACCAGCTACCCCTGTTTCCCCATGCTTGTTGTGTCGGGGCGGTGAGGGGTGCAGGCTGCTCTCAGAGGACCCCTGGCGGTGGGGTTCTCACCCCTCGGAGTGACCAGTACTGCTCAAGGCCATCCCCTTTCCCCCTCCCCCCAAGAACGTGGGCCTTGACAAGTGCAGGGATGCACGGCATAATGGCAGGAATGTCATGGCTCTTCTTTCATCTTTCCTGTCCTGTGGTCACAGGGACCACCAAGGTGGGCACGCTAGGGGTGGTCCAGAGCTCACCTCGGAAACAGGGTCTTTCTTAAAATGCTGCCAGGAAGACCTGGTCTTGGCTGTCAGCAAATGCCCTATGATGGCAGGTGCACTGAAAACTCGGCCCGTAACACACCTGAAACTAACACAACATTGTGAGTCAACTATACTCCAATATAAAATAAAATTTTTTAACAAAACAACAACAAAAAAAGAAAAAATAAAGGAAACTCAGCCCATAATGGAATGCCTAGCGCCCATCTTTGGGGGACTTCTCTGTGACTTATACATATGGCGGAAGAGATAGCTAAGGACTGTGACCCGGACCCCCGTGTACCTGGTGACGCCTTAGAAACGTGTCCGTGCTCTGTTGGAAACGCTTGGAGAAAGGAAAAGACGAAGGGCAGAGTGGAGTCTTTTGCTGCACATTTCCCCCACGCTTGAGTGTACTTCCAAATGGCCGCACCAAGCTGCTGGGTACCGGCTCTCCTGGGGACACTTTCCTACCCATCGCCTTGCACTCTTTTACTTCCCAACTAAATGGCCCAGGGAGGTGGAACGAGATGGTGGCCCAATGGCTGGGCCCATGGAGCAGTAGTCGTAAACAGCAATATTAAAATATGACCGACTTGCATTGATTTAGCAGACTTCCTTTCAACCAACGATCATGTTCACTGCCCTTGAGCCGCAGAGGCTCCTGTGTGAGATCATCAGGGAGAGGAACTATTTTTATAGATGAAAAATCTGACGCCCCGGACGGGAGGACGGGCTCTTTCCTCCGTCCATCCATCGTGTGTGTGTGTGTGTGTGTGTGTGTGGTGGGTAGGGGAGAGGTGCGGCAGCTAAAATGGTGATTCCTGCCATAACCATAATTGAGAGGGAAAAGCTGGGGCTCTGGGAAGACGAAGCGTGTCACAGTTCGGAGCGGCCGTGGGGATGACCTCACCCAGGGGACGAGAGCCATCCAGAGGACGCGCCGACGGAACTTTCCCTCGGGGTCCAAATGTGAGTCACCATGGCTCTGGTCCCTGCAGCGGGCTCCGTCCCCAGGCCTCCCACTTCACCCTGGGACATCGTGGTCACTGGTCAGGCCTCATGATTCACTCTGTCCCTCAAGCCAGCAGCCAGGGGTGGAGTCTCTCTCCTGGCATCTGTCCCCTCAGTGCTATCAACGCAGATGCTATGTGCGGGACGTGTGTAGCAGAGAAAGCACCTCACACCCTGCAGGGGTCAGGCCAAAGCCACTGCCACAGCCAGTGGATTTCAAAATGCAGTTTGGAAAGTACGGGGTGCTCCGTGGAGCGAGGACAGCCACAGCCTGACCTCTCCGAGCCCCCGGGGATGAGTCACGCCGTGATACCTGAGAGGTGGGGGGATAAACAAAGCTCACCAACGAGGAGCTCCACGTTGGCGCCCCATCTAGACAAGCGAGTTCACCCAAAAGGCCAGCGGCTGGCAGGGTGTCA